CCCCAGCATTTGAATATAATTATCTACATCTTTCATTGTTAATATATGAAAATTTACAATGTCTTGTTTTGACTTCTGAGACACGGGCTTTACTTTAAAGTACAAAAAGCATGCACAAATGCAAATCAGAATCTGATAAACTGTGTAGTTAATGAAATGTACCCTTGAATTAGCATTCGGTAAAAACATTGCCAAGTTTTTTTGTGTACATGTATTTTCTTTTTAGCGACAATGATTTGATCCCGACTAGTACCATTCAACTCAGTTACGTGAGAAAACCACTTTAGACCTCAATCTTTGATTTGGCATCGATTTGTATGAATGTTAAAACGCAAAATACTATATGATCACTAAGGTTGTTCTGTTCTGTGTCAGTAGCAGAAAATAATATTATGGCCAATTTCAGTTTGGGACCTATTTCTAAACATGGATTAATAAACAAGATATTTATTTTAACTAAATTTTTTTTTTTTAGTAATTGTCAGTGTTATGACAAATACACAAGACTATAATATGATAGTGATGATGGGTAATTGTAATTAATTATCGGAAAAAAATATTATTTGACACATTTTCTCTCCCAGAAAAAATCTTCCCGCTATAATATGTTTACCACCTTTGATAATGGCAGAATAAAGTGGTGTACTGGTTTAATGAATAATACTCTTGAGTCTTGTCTGTATAGAAAGTTATTTGCAAGGAAATGTTTTGAAGAAACATTAATCAATCAGAAAAAATCAATAGTGCGAAATAAAGTTAATGACCTTATTGAAGTATCACGTAGGAGTTATTTCGCTGATAATATCGCAGATTGTAATGGTGACCAAAGGAAACTGTTTTCCATCGTAAATGGTCTTCTAGGCTCGACAAATAATTTGAATGCGTTGCCGATTCACGATAACAAAATAAATTTAGCGAATCGTTTTAGCATGTTTTTCGTGGATAAGATTAAGAAAATCAATCAAGGACTAAATCTAAATTTATTGAATGGAAACCGTTTTAACGAACTGCACAAGTTCTCTGGTGATGAAATGGAATGTTTTGAACCAGCCACGGAGGATGAAATAATTAAAATTATAAAAAACAATCGGCGTCGGCTTCGTGTGATTTGGACTGTTTACCCACTAATATATTAAAAGATGAAAAGATCCTGGTTTCACCTATAACAGATATCATAAATGAATCACTTCGCACTGGAAGTGTTCCTGAGAAAATGAAATGTGCGCTGATTAAACCTCTGCTCAAGAAAGCATCGTTGGATTCAAACATGCTGAAAAATTATCGACCGATTTCTAATTTGTCTTTTATATCTAAAGTCCTTGAACGTGTCGTTGCATTCAGAGTGAACAACATTTAGATAATTATTCGTTGTATGAAGAGTTTCAATCAGCGTATCGGACCACACATAGCACTGAAACGGCTCTTTTGCGGGTCGCTAACAGTATTGATAATTCTAAGTATTCAGTTGCTCTCGTACTTTTGGATCTTTCAGCCGCTTTTGATACTGTGAATCACAGGATTCTCATCGATAGGTTGAGATCAAATTTTGGTTTAAATGGTCTCATTAAATGGTTTGAGTCGTATTTGAGTAACCGCATTCAAAAAGTGAAAATGTATTTTCTGATATGACGTCCATATTAGAAACCGGTGTTTTCCACAGGGCTCCGTTTTAGGGCCATTATTGTTCCATTGGGCGAGTTATTGCGACGTCACGGCGTAAAATATCATTTTTACGCTGATGACACACAGATTTATTTATCGGTTTCTGAAGATGATCAAATTCGCGCCCGGGTGATACTTCAGACATGTATTCAAGATGTTAGCGATTGGATGTCTTGTAATTTCCTAATTTTGAATGTGACGAAAACTGATTTTGTGTCCATGTCGTCTCGCAGATTATCACAAGACTCGTGTCCTTTGTCTAGTATCGCAATTGGTGAAGAATTGGTTAGTGCTTGTCAAGTGCTAGAAACTTGTTTGATTCGCAGCTATCTATGGAAACACACATTTCTACTATTTGTAGATCTAGATATTCCCATCTAAGAAATATTAATCGTATTCGTAAATCATTATCCCAATCTGATACTGAAAAGTTGGTACATGCTTTCATATCTTCTCGCTTAGACAGCTGTAAGTCATTATTGTCTGGTCTCCCTGTAACTAAGATAAAATCTCTTATTCGTGTACAAAATGCAGCAGCACGCCTTGTCACTCGTGCTCGAAAATATGACCACATTACAGACATTTTTATTAAACTTCATT